GGTGAGGTGGCTAGCCATAGTAGGCTTGATGTTGCTTATTTTGCCGTTTTACTTATTTTAATTAACTTTGTTTATTTTAATTAAAATTTTGGGAGGCTAGGCCTCGGTTTTGAGCGGCATTTGCAAAATTTCATTTTGACAAGTTTGGGTGCTACCGACTTAATTAATTAGATTAATTAAGGAAATGCGGAATTTAGTGGGAGCTTTAATTATTAATGACGTAATTTATATAATCGGTTAAACAACTTTGACTAGTTTTAATTAGGCGTGTTAATCGGATTAACCACCTAGATTAGTTACTAGAGCGCGCGTTGTTTAAATGCATTTTACTTTGTTTTAATTTGTAAATTGCATGGGCCATTCACAAATAGTGAATGGATGAATGGAATATATATATATATTCTCTCTCACAGGTTTTATGAAAAGGCAACTAGTGGGACCCGACTAGGATAGAAAATACGGACTACGTGCCGTTATGTATTTTTGTAAATCTAAATACGGTCTACGCACCGTTAAGTATTTTTGTACTTTAATATTTAGATCTTTCCTAGTTGTAGACACTAGTTTTTTTTACATAGTTTGGTTAAGTCTTGAAGACGGCGTATTTTGGAAGACAAAGCTTCGAATTGCAAATGAAGACCTTTTGAAGATATGAAGATCTCAAGGGGTCATGCTAGTTGCCAATATGCATCTATAATTTCGCTTTATATTTTATGCTTATATATATGTGTGACTTATTTGTTAGATGCATGGTTAGATTTTCTTGATGTTGTGATGATTAGTTAAGTTCACTTAAATCAACCAACATAGAAATCCTAGGTCCCTAATAATATTGAGTCAAACTTGCCTTTCCAAACAACACTTATTAACCGAACGAGAGTGATGGTAGGCTACGCCAAAGCGAGGTGACATCACTTCTCCAAGGGGCATAAGGCACACCGGGTGTGCACGTTGGTTTTGGTTTAACTCATCGGTATGGGTGAGGAGTCCTTACATACCGTGGCAAAAGAGATACATCGTCAAAGATGCATCAGATGCGACGATTATCTAACCAAGAGTGGCTTAGAGCCATTAGCAAGGCAATGCTTACCCAAGAAGATTGAGTGTTTAAGACAAGCCAAAGCATGCTTAACCAGTCTTTGTTTCTTCGGATCTTGGAATCGCCTTATTTTCACAAAATAGGGACAAATTTTACGTGTGAATAAGACGTTAAATAAGTATTGAAAATTTGCATGAATAAAATTCAATCTTATTTAAGTACTTTGAATGGTTTTTCATTAAAATTCTTTCAATTGTAGAATCATGTCTTCAACCCCAAACAATCAGTTTTCATTACGCTCAATTCTCGACAAAGAGAAGTTGAGTGGTATCAATTTCCTTGATTGGAAAAGGAATTTGCGCATCGTTCTTATGCAAGAACAGAAAGAGTATGTCCTTGATGAGGAAATGCCTGACGATCCAAATGAGGAGGTAACTCAAGCGGCCCTTAACCGATGGCAAGTAGCCGATCGGGATGTCAAGTGCGTAATGCTAGCCACTATGTCTCCTGAACTTCAGAAAACCTTCTTCGAGAAGGAATTGGCCTATGAGATCATTTCTGAGTTACAGAATATGTTTCAATAGCAGGCTCAAACTGAAAGGTTTGAAACCCACAGGTAGATCCTTGAGACTAAGCTCAAGAAAGGAGAGCCAGTCAGCCCACATGTGCTCAAAATGATTGGATTATTTGAGAACATGGGAAGGCTTGATGCGGGGTATTCAACTGAAATGGCTATTGACATCATTCTCCATTCCCTTCACAAAGGCTATGACCAGTTCAAGATGAACTACAACATGCATAGCATGGAGAAAACCCTCACCGAGCTTCATGGGATGTTGAAGCAAGCTGAGAAGACGCTCAAGGATGAGGGAAAGCATGATATTCTCATGATCAAGAAGGGTGAGCCGTTCAAAGGGGCAGACAAAAGGAAGAAGGGCTTCAAGGGGAAAAGGGAAGAAGAACTTTCCGCCTAAGCCGAAAGCTACCAAAGACAACAAGGAGAAAAAGGTAGCATCTTCTAAGTCTGATTCCGAATGCTTCTATTGCAAGAAGAAGGGACATTGGAAAAGAGACTGCCTCAAATTCAAGGAAGATAAGAAGAACGGAACCGTTGCTTCTACATCAGGTATTTACGTTATAGACTTTAACTTCACTAGCTCGGCTTCATGGGTATTAGATACCGGATGTGGCTCACACCTTTGTTCCAATTCACATGGACTAAGGAACACTAGGAAGCTAGCGAAGGGAGAGATCGAGCTCCGGGTAGGAAATTGATAACTTGCTATTTGATATGATTTTAGGGTGTTTTGAACCTAGTTTACTTGATAAAAATTGCGTTTTGGTTCATTTTTACTCTATTATTATGCAATTTTTGTGTATCCTATGCTTCACGGGTTGTTTGTGTTTTTGTTGAGATTCTAGGTTCAAAAGAACGACCAAATGGAGCCCATGGATACAAAGCCGAGGTTAGAAGCAAGAAGATGGATGAAAGGAGCCAAGGAAAGGAGCAATATAGAAGAAATGATGAAAAAAGGGGTTAGAAGACCCTGCACGGCCGTGCCAGACCTTGCACGTCCGTGCAGGAGGTTCCAGAAAGTTTTAGCAAGCTTCCAAGGCCTGCACGGCCGTGCCTAATTTGGCACGTCCGTGCAGAAGAGGGTGCACGTCCGTGCCAGACCTTGCACGTCCGTGCAGGAGTGCTCCAGAAACTCAGAACATTCTGCCAAGGCCTGCACGGACGTGCCAAATTAAGCACGTCCGTGCAGATGTTGCTGCACGTCCGTGCCAATATCTGCACGTCCGTGCGGAACTGCTCGATTCTTAGCAGTACGTTCTGCCTCAATTTTGCCCCCTCTGCACGTCTGTGCTGAATCTGGCACGACCGTGCTTATGCTTGCACGTCCGTGCCGAATCTGGCACGTCCGTGCAGACCTGCAGTCGAACTCCTTCCTTGTTTTCTCCGTCCTTTTTATTTGGGGGTCATATAAATACCCCTTTAGAGCTCATTTGAGGGGAGGGCAGTTTTTTTAGAGCTTTCCTCTTAGTTTGTAGTCTTAGAACATTAAATTCTCAAATCATTAGTTAGTTCTCAATTATTAGCTTGGAATTATTCAAATACAATCATTGTAGAAGACAAAATCCACCATTGTTGCTCACCTTGAAGCTTCATAGTAACCATTTCTTACTCATCTTTTCTACTTCTCTTTACTTTGTTGTTAATTATTTGCTAGTTCTTGCATGTTTTGGATTGTTAATTAGTTTAATCCTTAGTTTGAATTTGTTCATGAATTGCTTGAAATCTTTAATTGCTTTAACCCCCATGGATTGTGAGTAGTCTAAATTCTAGGGTTTGGGCAAAACCCTCAATGTAGTCACTAATTACTTGTTGCATGTGCTAATTTGGTTGTTGTGGGATGTTAATTAGTTGAGCTTAAGTGGTTTAATTGCTTAGTTCTTGTATATGGCCATTGCTAGAACTATTTATCCAAGCTTTCTCAACGAAGGATCGAGAGATGAACTTGAGTTAGCTCCCTTATGCTTGATTGACCCGAAATGCCATGAGAATAGGGATTACCGGTCAAGGGAATGTTTATGTCATCGTGATTATGCTTTAACACTTGTTTTATGCTATGTAACCACGAGAGTAGGTTGTATTCATGATTCAAGTAATCCCTCTAGCTTGAGAGAGTAGTTGGGTGCTTTAGATGACTTCCCCTAATTTATCCCATCATTTTACCTTGATTGTTGCATGCTAATTGTGATTTGTGATGAAGTTGAGTGGTATAACCCAAGCCCTAGATTCCTCTTAATATTGTTAATCTCCTCTTAGCTTTAGTTGAGTTGAATTAGAAGAAGTTACTCAAAACCAACCCAATTTGGAATTCATTTAGCTTAATTAAACGGTAGTACTCGGTGGTTGATTCAACGCCTCTCTTGGGTTCGACCCTTTCTTACCCTTACTACTATTAGTGAGACCAAGATAGGAATTATTATCTTTGGTAGGCTCGACGACGGCCTATCAAATTTTGGCGCCGTTGCCGGGGAGGCAAAGTCACATTGAATGTATTATTGCTGAATGAGACTAGATGTGTGTATATGTATAGTAGTTTTCTTACCTTAATTTTTGTTTATGTATGTTTAACTTGTGATAGTCATTGCTAACGTTTTTCTTAGCTTTGTTTGACTTTGCATGACACGAAAGAGTAAGCAATCACCGCTTATTCCCGTTGATCCCGAGCTAAATAGGACTTTGAGAAACGTGTGGAGACTCTTGCAAGGCACACCCGAGTTTTCCATTGTATATTCAGATTCCGATCCGGAAGAGGTTTTTGGAACTAACGAAGAAGATAACATGGGAGAGAATCCTCCTCAACCATTGTTAAGAGACTATGACCACCCCAACGCATTCCAACTTCGGAGTGGCATACGTCTTCCCACCACAAATGCAAACAACTTTGAACTTTCACCTCAACTCATCCGTATGATTCAAAGCGATCAATTCGGAGGTAGTCCTCATGAGTGTCCTTTTGCTCATTTGGACAACTTTCTTGAGTTGTGTACAACCATCAAGCAAAACAACATTTCGGAAGAGTTCATCCGTATGCACATGTTTCAATTCTCCCTCCGTGATAAAGCAAAACATTGGTTGAGAACGGTTGAAGAGGGATCATTGAGTACATGGGACGAAGTCACTAGAGCCTTTCTTGGAAAGTATTGTCCTCCGGAAAAGACCGCCGAATTAAGAAGAAAGATCACCAATTTCAATCAAGACATTGATGAAACATTGAGTGAAGCTTGGGAGCGTTTCAAAGATTACACAAGGAAATGCCCCCACCATGGTTTTACATCATGAATCATTGTACAAAGCTTCTATGACGGTCTTACTCCTATTTCAAGGGCCAACCTTGATTCCGGGGCCGGTGGTAGCCTCAAAAAGCTATCGGTGGACGATGCATACAAGATGATTGAAGAAGTGGCCAAGCATTATGCATATGGAGGTGATAGAAGGCAACCTCAAACAAAGATGGGCGGAATTCATGATCTTAGTGCAATAGATCTTATTGCATCAAAGTTTGATATGCTAGCTCACAAGCTAGATCAAGCCACCCTCACACCCTCAAGCTCTTCCTCGCAAGTCATGTCTTGTGAGACTTGTGGAGGAAATGATCACTTATCCTCTTATTGCAACTCAACGAATCAAGAGCAAGCGGCGGCAATTGGGCAAAGGAATGAACAATACTCCCAATCCCACAATCAAAGTTGGAAGCCCCAACATAACACGGGATGGAAGCAATACAACCAAGGCCCCCCACAAAATAACTACAACCAAAATCAAACCCAACCTCAAAACCACTACAACCAACCTCAATCACAAAACCAACAAGCTCCATACCGCCATCCCAACCAAAGGGATCAAAACCACCAAAGATCTCAATATAACCAACCCGCTCCTCCTCCTCCACCTCCTCAAAAGACTAGCCTTGAGTCCATTCTTGAAACTTTCATGACACAACAAATAAGGAACAATGTGGAGATGAATGCAAACAACCAACAACTCCAAGCACATAATAAGATAATGGAGGGCCAATTGGCTCAAATTGCACAACAAGTTGGAAGTTCATCCTCCAATCCTAGTGGTCACTTTCCAAGCTCAACGGTAGTGAATCTAAAGGAGAAAGCTAAGGCCATCACTTTGAGATCGGGAAGGGGTTATGAGGGCCCGGTTATGAGTGAAGAGGAGCCACAAAAGAGAGATGAGGGAGTTGTGGTGAGAAGTGAGGATGATTTTGAAAATGAAGTAGTTGAAGTTGAGAGAAAAGAGCAAAAGAGTGATGAGGGAGCCACAAAGAAAGACGAGGGAGATGAAGAAAGAATAGAAAAGCCCCCTATGAGAGTATATAAGCCCCCCATTCCGTTTCCTCATAGAATTGTAGAGAAGAAGTTGAATGAGAAGTTTTCAAAATTTCTTGAAGTCATGAGAGGACTTCAAGTGAACATCCCCTTTCTTCATGCTATGTCACAAATGCCTACCTATGCAAAATTTTTGAAGGATCTTCTATCCAACAAGAGTAGGCTTGAAGAGAGTGCAACCATCTCCCTTCCTAAGGAGGTGAGTGCAATCATTCAAAACAAGCTTCCCCAAAAGCTTGGTGACCCCGGTAGCTATGCAATACCGGTGAAGATTGGAGATTTGGAAGCTATGGATGCTTTATGTGATCTTGGGGCAAGCGTGAGCTTGATGCCCTATTCTATTGCAAAGACCTTGAAAGTTGGAGACTTGAAACCAACAAGAATGTCCTTACAACTAGCCGACCGCACGGTTAGGCTACCTTTGGGGATTCTTGAAGATGTGCCGGTTCAAGTTGGAAGAGTATTTGTACCATGTGATTTTGTAGTAATGGAGATGGAAGAAGATTCAAGAGTACCCCTCATTTTGGGGAGACCATTTTTGAACACCGCGGGAGTGGTGATTGATATGAAGGAAGGAAGATTGACTTTGAATGTGGGAGATGAGAAAATTTCATTTTCATTCTCACAAACTTTAAAAAATCCATTGATTAATGAAGTTCATAGAATTGACACATTGGAGAGGGACTTAGAAGAGTTCCGAGAAAGATTGTATGAAAGAGATCCTTTACAAGCTACCTTAACGGGAAGCTTAGTTGAGGAGGGTGAAGAAGCAAAGGGGTACGATCTCTTGCTCAACCAACCTTTGGCCCACGAGGTGATAAAATTTGAAGTGCTTAACGTGGAGGCAAAAGAGGAGAGGACTACGCCTCCTCCTAAGGTTGAACTTAAACCCCTTCCCCCTCTACTTAAATATGCTTTTCTTGATGATAGTGAGAATTATCCCGTTATTTTCAATGCTAAGCTCGATGACACCTCTCTTGAGAAACTCCTAGTTGTTTTAAGGAAGTATAGAGATGTCATTGGGTACAAAATTGATGACATTAAGGGGATAAGTCCCACCATATGCATGCATAAAATTCTACTTGATGATGATCATGCTTCCTCGATTGAGCACCAAAGAAGGCTCAATCCCAATATGAAGGAAGTGGTAAAAAAGGAAGTTTTAAAACTTCTTGAGGCGGGCATAATCTACCCTATCTCCGATAGTAAGTGGGTTAGCCCGGTTCAAGTTGTGCCTAAAAAGGGAGGCATGACCATCATCAAAAATGATAAGGGTGAGACCATTTCTACGAGGTCGGTCACCGGGTGGAGGATGTGCATTGACTATCGAAAATTGAATAAATCCACCCGGAAAGACCACTTCCCACTCCCCTTCATTGATCAAATATTGGAAAGACTAGCATCACATAGTCATTATTGCTTCTTGGATGGATACTCGGGATTCTTTCAAATTCCAATCCACCCCGAGGACCAAGAAAAGACTACATTCACATGTCCTTTTGGCACCTTAGCATATCGAAGAATGCCATTTGGGCTTTGTAATGCACCTTCCACATTTCAAAGGTGTATGATGTCTATTTTTTCCGACATGCTTGAATCATCAATTGAGGTATTCATGGATGACTTTTCTGTTTTTGGTTCATCTTTTGATACTTGTCTTTCAAACTTGATTAAAGTGTTTAAAAGATGTCAAGAGGTGAACTTAGTTTTGAATTGGGAGAACGGTCATTTCATGGTAGAGGAGGGAATTGTTCTTGGTCATGTGATTTCTAGTAGGGGCATTGAGGTAGATCGTGCCAAGATTGAAGTAATTGAGCGCCTCCCACCCCCTTCAAATGTGAAGGGGATAAGGAGCTTTCTTGGACATGCGGGTTTTTACCGCCGGTTCATAAAGGATTTTTCAAAAATCGCAAAGCCGCTCACTCAATTGTTGGTAAAAGATGCCCCTTTTGTGTTTACTAATGATTGTTTGCTAGCATTTGATAGGTTGAAGGAGGCCTTGATTTCGGCTCCTATAATTCAACCCCCTAATTGGGAACTTCCTTTCGAGCTTATGTGTGATGCTTCGGATTTCGCCGTTGGGTCTGTTCTTGGACAAAGGAAGGACAAGAAGCTCCATGCTATCTATTATACTAGCAAAACATTGGATGAGGCACAAAGGAATTACACAACCACGGAAAAGGAGTTTCTAGCCATTGTTCATGCAATTGTGAAGTTTAGGTCCTACTTGTTGGGCTCTAAGGTCATAGTTTTCACCGACCATGTGGCCTTGAAGTACCTCTTGTCTAAGAAGGAACCTAAGCCAAGATTGATACGGTGGGTCTTGCTCTTGCAAGATTATGATATTGAGATTAGAGACAAGAAGGGTGCCGAAAATGTTGTGGCTGATCATCTTTCACGGTTGCCTATATTTGTAGGTGATCTTGATAACTTGCCAATTGATGATTCATTTCCGGATGATCGACTATTTGCTATCCTTCAAGTACCGGCACCATGGTTTGCGGACATTGCAAACTACTTGTCTTGCTCTATTCTTCCTCCCGACCTCACCTATCAACAAAAAAGGAAGTTTCTTCATGATATTCGCCAATACTTTTGGGACGACCCCTTGCTCTTTAAACAAGGTGTTGATGGCCTTTTTAGAAGGTGTGTCCCGGATGATGAAATTGAAAATGTTATCACAATGTGTCACTCATCACCTTGTGGAGGACATATGAGTGCTAACAAAACTTTGGCAAAGATCTTACAATGTGGTTTCTATTGGCCTTCCATGTTCAAAGATGTGTGGGGTGTAGTGAAAGCTTGCGACCGGTGTCAAAGAACCGGCAATATTTTAAGAAGAAGTGAAATGCCATTGAACAACATTCTTGAGTTGGAGATTTTTGATGTATGGGGCATAGATTTTATGGGGCCTTTCCCAACCTCTTTTGGGAACAAATTCATTCTTGTGGCCGTCGATTACGTGTCAAAGTGGGTAGAAGCGGTTGCATCTCCTACTAATGATGCTAAGGTGGTGGTTAAACTCTTCAAGAAGGTCATTTTTCCGAGGTTTGGGATGCCACGTGCCGTCATTAGTGATGGAGGTTTGCATTTTGCAAAGCGGTCCTTCCAAGCTCTTCTTCAGAAGTACAGTGTGAGGCACAAGGTGTCATTGGCTTACCACCCTCAAACAAGTGGTCAAGCCGAAATTTCAAACCGGGAGATAAAGGTTATCTTAGAGAAGACGGTGGATAGGTCTAGAAAGGATTGGTCTACGAAGCTAGATGATGCTCTATAGGCCTACCGCACCGCATTCAAGACTCCCATTAGCACCACCCCTTACAAGCTAGTATATGGGAAATCATGCCATTTACCGGTAGAACTTGAGCATCGTGCTCATTGGGCTATTAAAACGTTGAACTTTGACCTTCAAAGTGCCGGTGAAAAGAGGTTACTTGACCTCCATGCCTTGGAAGAGCTAAGATTGGATGCATATGAGAATGCACGGATCTACAAGGAAAAGACCAAGGCTTGGCATGACAAGCATATCAACAAAAGAGAGTTCAAGGAAGGTGACAAGGTCCTACTATTCAATTACCGGTTGAAGTTGTTTCCGGGTAAGCTAAAATCAAGATGGAGTGGACCTTTTACCGTCAAGAAGGTGTTCCCATATGGTGCAATCGAAATGGCCAAAGAGAATGGTGAACCGTTCAAAGTAAATGGCCAAAGGCTAAAAGCGTACTTTGATGGTTTTGTGAATGAAGAGGCAAAAGTTGTTCACCTTGATGAGTTCGATATTCCTCACTAACATTTGATCCCGCAATGTCGTCAAGCTAGTGACGTTAAAGAAGCGCTACCGGGAGGCAACCCGAGTTCCTCACTCCCCCTCAATTATTATTATTATCCCCTTTTTCTTTTATTTATATATATATATATATATATTTTTGTTTTGTAGGTATCTATAAAAAAAAAAAAGGGGGGGGGGGGGAAGAAGAAGAAATCGTGCACCATCAGGTCTGCACGGACGTGCAGAACATCGCACGTCCGTGCAGACGAAGGCAGAACCTGACTGGTGAAATATGAAGGTTCGCACGTCCGTGCCAAAAATAAGCACGTCCGTGCCAAAAATCGGCACGTCCGTGCCAACCACGGCACGTCCGTGCACTCGAAGACAGAACAGATTGCCATTCTGCCAGGAATCAGCACGTCCGTGCCAAAATCTGCACGTCCGTGCAGATTCAACCTGCTCAGCAATATGACGGTTTCTACCAAAAAAAAAAAAATATTATAATAGCAAAGACCCCCCCCCCCCCATACTCACAATTCTCACTCCTCTTTCACACTCAAATTCTCCTTCCTCCTCCATACTCCATACTTCTTACTACTCCTTCAAACTCCATACTTCATATTTCTCACTCTTCAAACTCCATTTTTCACTTAAATCCCAACTCTAAACTACAAATTTCACTCCTCTTTCAACATTCTTCACAAATTACTACCCCTTTTCACCATCAAAACCCCAAAGTACCAAAATTTTCTCAAACCCTAACTTTCAAAATTGATTTGGGGGTTTCTTGAATTTTGATTCTTTAAGCAAATTGGGTGAACAAGGACCATCAATCAACAACAAGGAGTACTAGAAAGGTTCATTTGCGGGTTCTACACCCATGATATTCTTGGTATAATCTTTCTAATCTCAAGTTCTTCCTTTGTAGTTTAAATGCTTGTTGGTTGATTTTATGAGTAGTAATAGTTGAAATTGTTGACATTTTGTTAAGTAATTGTGATTGTTGTTAGTTTAGTGGTATAAAAAATTTTAGGTGAATAGTGAGCATTGAAATTTTGGTTGGTGATAGGTTTGTGTGAGTATGGATGCTTTTGGTGTTGGATTGTTGAATTGTTGTTGGTAAATTATGCACATTGACAATTTTGGTGTTTGACTGTTTGAATTGAGAAGATCATTGTTGGTAATTTTGGGGCTTGTTCTTGTTGTGTGTTGGTTAGGTGGAAGACTTAGAGCCTTGTGTGTTCAAATACTTGTTCATTAGGTGTTGTGCTTGCTTGAAGTATTCTAAAAAAAAAAAAATTTGATCATGTCAAGAAGAAACCAACCAAGAAACACCTCATCCGCTAGGCTTAGAAACCCTCCACCACCATCAACCGTCGAACCACCACAAATGGACACCCTAGGTATTGTCTTTAATAATTCGGATTTCATGGACAACTACCTAAGAATTAGTAGGAGAAGAATTCGGCCAACGAAATTTTACAACCATGAGGTAGCCGAAGCCTTAGGTGTAGAGAATGATGTGAGGCAACTTTTTTTTCAAACTGGTGTCCCAAATTGGTTAGAAATGCATGCTAACACCTATAAACGACTTACCTTAGAATTCCTCTCCTCACTATATGTCCACCGAGATAACCGCAACAACCCCCGTTACTTGACCTTCCAATTGATGAACACCCATCACAAGATGACCATAGAACAAGTGAACCAAGCATTTGGGTGGCCAACGGATGGCAAATTCGGACCTAAGGATAAGCCTTCCCGAAAGCATAACCCGGGATCTTTTTGGAGAAAAATCACCGGCCTATTTACTAGAGATCCTAGGACCGACAAGGCCACGGCCATAGTACACCCTGCCTTTAGATTATCCCAGCGCCTAATAGCTAATACTATTTTTGCTAGGGGAGATAGTTCTGGTGTAGTTTCTAACCGTGAGTTTCTTTTTCTTTGGCACTTGAGTGAGGGTGACGAGAGGTTGAACTTAGGGGCTTGGCTTGTAGACCACCTAGATGATGTATCCTAGGGGAGTGGAGTGATAACAATTGGGGGGATGATCACTATTATTGCTGCTTTTCTCGATCTTAATTTTGCATATTTGGAAATCATTCCTGGGCCAACAACACTTGACATCCGCTCCCTCAAGGCTATGCATTGGTTGGAGGAAGATGAAGAGGGTAGGACCTACACGTGGATGGTAAGTAGGCGCCCCTATGCAACTTTGCGAAATCCGGAAGCCACGGTTATTTACAACCCCGAGAATTGGGTCTTTGAGCCGAATTTTGAGTGGATTCCGGGTGGAGAAGATGACCAACCCCAAGGCGGTGAGGAACAATTCCAACAACAACAACAACAGCAACAACATCATCAACAATTTCAACAACATCAACATCATCAACAATTTCAGCAACAACAATTTCATCAACAACACGAGTTCCAACAAAGGGACCAAGAGGGCTACCAAGATCAAGGTGTGGGTGAAAATAACCCATACCTCTCTTTTGAGCAGCAAGTAGCCAACATGAATGCGAATTTTGCCCGCATGACCACCGAATTCGAGACCTTAAGGAAATCAAACGAAGATATGAGGACTTCTTTTGACAACATGAGAACAAGTTTCGAAGGTCTCAGATCGGAGTTGGGCGATTTCCGCACTATGTACCGGCATCTCTACCCAGGGGGCTCAAGCTCCCAAGGGGGCCCGAACCAATGAGTTAGTTTCTTCCTCCCCTTCTCTTTGTGCTTGCATTGCTTTAACATTGGGGACAATGTTTATGATAGCTTGGGGGGGAGTGTTCTCTCATGTGTCATTGGTTCGTGTTGTGTTTTCGTATTTCCATGATTGAGTTTTCATGTTGGTTTTTCCCATTCTCTTCTTCCCTAACATCCAAATCCTTTAAATCCAAATTTGCTCCCTTTAAAATCCAATACCCTAAATCCAAATTTCTTATCTTGTGAATACCTCTCTTATCTTTTCATTTAGATGTATAGTTTTTTTTTTATTATTTTTATGCTTAGTTTAGCTAGCCTAATGCTGTAATTTTTCATTTCTTACACAAAAAAAAAAAAAAAAAAAAAAACCAAAAAAAATCGAAAAACGAAAAAAAAGATATTGAAAAATGAAAAAATTGCCCAAGGATGAAACTCAAATGACGACGCTAATATGTTTTGCTTGCTTGACTCTTGAGTGATGAGTAAAAGTTATTTTAGAAGGGTGTATGCAAGAGTTGGGGTCATTTAGAGGTCTATTAATCCTGGTTGCATTAGTGTATATGAAATGAAAGTCGATGAATGCTCAATTGCACGTCTAGGATATTGTTAAATTTGCCCAAAGTAGGATATGTTTGAGTCAAATTGCGGTCCCTTGTGCCCTTAATGTGCCTCCTTTCCTCCCCGAAATGAAACTCTATTAAGGATTTAGCTCTACTTGTATTATGTGTAATAAGTGGCATAATAAGCCATACATTTCGAATAAAGAAAGAGCCGCTCACAGTTAAAAGAGGCGAGGGCAATAATGTAAAAAAAAAATATAAAAAAAAAATATAGAAAAGAAGGGAGAACAAAAAAAAAAAAAAAAAAAAACTCCCCCAAAAATTCTCAAAATTTTGATATTCTTTTCTCTAGAGGTCAACTCGTGGATGCCTCCCACACATTGTCGACTATGTAGCTTATTGTTTCTTGTGAAATTCCTGAGTTAGAGTGTAATTAAGGGGCCTTGGGTGTGCATTCTGGGAGGTGGACTAGCATTTTGAGATTTTGTAACCGAAAGAGGGCTCATTACAACTTTGGAATATCTAGGTGTGCTCTAATGAACTAGTAAAAGGCCAAAGGAAGTATCCTAGTGCAACCTTGTTTAGTTCTCCTCTCTACCCCCAACTCATGTGTACATTTGTATGATCGGTAGTTCTTGAAAGTCGTTCACTTGTCTTGCTTGTGTCTCATATCCCGATGAGTTGACTTGGGCGAAAAATTTGAACTTGTGCGATTTTTGGCGATGTGTTGTGGACTGCGTGAGTTGTGGGGCAAACTCATTGGAAACCCTCACGAGATAAAAACTCGTCCTCTAAGGCGACTTAGAGGTTTAAATTGCTTCTCACTTGTGCTAAAAGTGATGTTGGTTGTCACCATGCAGATTTGTTTATGTATGCTTCCCCCTTGTTGCCTCTCCTTGGATTGATGATTAGCAATTTGTTTTCCTCCTTTGGTTTGACATTTTTGTTTTGCTTGAGGACGAGCAAAAGCTTAGCTTGGGGGGATTTGATAACTTGCTATTTGATATGATTTTAGGGTGTTTTAAACCTAGTTTACTTGATAAAAATTGCGTTTTGGTTCATTTTTACTCTATTATTATGCAATTTTTGTGTATCCTATGCTTCACGGGTTGTTGGTGTTTTTGTTGAGATTCTAGGTTCAAAAGAACAACCAAATGGAGCCCATGGATACAAAGCCGAGGTTAGAAGCAAGAAGATGGATGAAAGGAGCCAAGGAAAGGAGCAATATAGAAGAAATGATGAAAAAAGGGGTTAGAAGACCCTGCACGGCCGTGCCAGACCTTGCACGTCCGTGCAGGAGGTTCCAGAAAGTTTTAGCAAGCTGCCAAGGCCTGCACGGCCGTGCCTAATTTGGCACGTCCGTGCAGAAGAGGGTGCACGTCCATGCCAGACCTTGCACGTCCGTGCAGGAGTGCTCCAGAAACTCAGAACATTCTGCCAAGGCCTGCACAGACGTGCCAAATTAAGCACGTCCGTGCAGATGTTGCTGCACGTCCGTGCCAATATCTGCACGTCCGTGCGGAACTGCTCGATTCTTAGCAGTACGTTCTGCCTCAATTTTGCCCCCTCTGCACGTCCGTGCCGAATCTGGCATGACCGTGCTTATGCTTGCATGTTCGTGCCGAATCTGGCACGTCCGTGAAGACCTGCAGTCGAACTCCTTCCTTGTTTTCTCCGTCCTTTTTATTTGGGGGTCATATAAATACCCCTTTAGAGCTCATTTGAGGGGAGGGCAATTTTTTTTAGAGCTTT